GGTCCTGGGATCGAGTCCCACATCGGGCTCCCGGCTCGTTGGGAGCCTGCTTCTCCCTCTGCCTCTCTCTCTCTCTCTCTCTCTGTCTCTCATGAATAAATAAATAAAATCTTTAAAAAAAAAAAAGATTTAGTCCCCACAGTTTTGTGCTAAGTGGGTTCCAGATAATCCAGTTATGAAGTGAGAGATCACGTTCCTTTGAGGTTAATGAAAAGTGAATTATCTGGTGGGGCATGTTGATAATGGGGCAGGCTGTGCATTTTTGGGGGCAGGGGGATTAAGTCTATGGAAAAAGGAGTTCTGGGTTGGAAACGTGGTTTCTTAGCATCAGCAAGAAAAGGAGGGATTAGGTAACCACGTTCGCGTTCCTAAAAGAAGGTCTGTGTAGGGTAATGTTTTCAGTGTCTTTTTTTTTTGATTTTTTTTTTTATTCTTATGTTAATCCCCATACATTACATCATTAGTTCTAGATGAAGTGTTCCATGATTCATTGTTCGTGCATAACACCCAGTGCTCCATGCAGAACGTGCCCTCCTCAATACCCACCACCAGGCCAACCCATCCTCCCACCCCCCTCCCCTCTAGAACCCTCAGTTTGTTTTTCAGAGTCCATCGTCTCTCATGGTTCGTCCACCCCTCCGATTTCCCCCGCTTCATTCTTCCCCTCCCGCTACCTTCTTCTTCTTCTTTTTTTTTTCTTAACATATATTGCATTATTTGTAATGTTTTCAGTGTCTTAAGCACCTTTGCTCTGCCTATAAAATTCGGAGCTGTGGTGCTGCTCTCAGCAGGGCAGCCCGATCCAGAACTTTGACAGCTGTCCTATGTGAAGTCATTTTAAAAGTCATATTAAATGATTTTAAAAGTAAAAAGTCATAACCTGCAGACTGTAAGAATACTGGCAAATTAATACATTTTTAGTTTGGAGACTTGCATTTTGCGAGCTGAAATAAAGAAAACCTTGATTTTAAAAAGTGAATTCTGGGGCACCTGGCTGGTTCAGTTGGAAGAGCACGTGGCTCTTAATCTCAAGGTCGTGAGTTCGAGCCCCACAGGGGGTGTAGAGATTACCTAAATAAATAGAGCTTAAAAAAATGAATTCTTTTTCTGTCGCAAAAAGTAGAGAGTGTGACTTACACTATCCCTGAACTTGCACTGAAAGGACAAGGTCCTAGATAGTCGCGAGATTGCTACTTCCTGGACATCCTGTCCCTGGCCCCAAAGACATGACCTGGAGCTTTCCCTCGTTCCGGGAGAGTGGCGGCGGGTGGCTGGAGGACAGAGGGAAAACCCACCAGTGCTGTGTGCCTCTCCGTGCCTGGTTCCTTCTCTTGTTCCTGGAAGGGCAGCTCCTCAGCATCCTGCCTCCCAACCAGCCACGGAGAGGAGCAAGACACAAAAACTACCCAAGTGTGTATTTGAATTTGGCCTATTTGCCAGGCACTGCACTGAGTTGCTTTATGTGGAATTTCTTATTTGATTTTCAAAAATAACCTTATGAAGTTAAGTACTGTCAAAACCTCCATTTGGGGGCGCCTGACTCTTGATCTCGGCTCAGGTCATGATCTCGGGGTCGTGAGATGGAGCCCTGTGTCGAGCTCCGCACTGAGCGTGGAGCCTGCTTGGGATTCTCTCTCTCCCTCTGCCCCTCCCCCCACCCCACCAAAACCCTCCATTTTTTTCTGGGAGTGCAAAGTACAGCAAGGTGACCGTAGTTAAGAATACTGTATTGTATATTGGGAAGTTGCTGAGAGTAGATCTTAAAAGTTCTCATCCTAAGAAAAGGATTTTTTTGTTAACTATGTGTGGTGATGGATGTTAATGAGACTTACTGTGGTGGTCATTTTGCAATATATGCAAATATTGCATCATTATTTCGCACACATGAAACGAATATAATGTGATATGCCGATTACATCTTAATAATAAAAAAGTTTAACAAGTTTTGAGGCTCAAATTTACAACATGGTGATCAGAGCTAATAATACTGTATTACATACTCGAATGTTGCTAAGAGAATAGATCTTAAATGTTCCCATGACAAAAAAGAAATGGTACTTATGTGACAGGAAGGAGGTATGTTGGCTCATGCTAGGGTGGTCATCGTTTTGCTATATATAAATGTATCAAATCAATACGTTATACACCTTAAAATCACACAACGTTGTATGTCAGATATATCTCCATAAAGCTGGAAAAAAAAATAAGCACAAACGAAGGCCCCTCCATTTTACAGATGGGAAAGCAGGGACTTAAAAAAATCAAGAGGGTTGGGGCGCCTGGGTGGCTCAGTTGGTTAAGCATCTGCTTTTGGCTCAGGTCATGACCCCAGGATCCTGGGATCAAGCCCCGCATCAGGCTCCCTGCTCTGCGGGAAGCCTGCTTCTCCCTCTCCCACTCCCCCTGCTTGTGTTCCCTCTCTCGCTGTGTCTCTCTCTGTCCAATAAATACATAAAATCTTTAAAAAAAAAAATCAAGTGGGTTTATTCAGGGTCTATTAGCTAGTCAGTGAAAGGGCCAGGAGCTGAAGGTCACCCGGCCGGAGGGACATATAAGCTGTTGTTGCTCCGGGAGCCGGGGGAGGTAAGCAGGTGAAATGTTGTGTTGGCAGGATTGTATGGGGGAGGTGTCGGGAGGGGAAGGGTGTTGCAGTTGAGGGGAAAGCGTGTGCAAAGGCCTGCACCATCTGCTCAGTGTCCCATCTGGGTGCTGCCAGGTGAGAAGATAGAAATTCTTATCTTCTAGGACACGAGCATCTCAAAGACAAGGGCTCTTCTTACCCACCTGTGTAGGTAGCTCATTTTCAGGTGTGTGATATGGCTCACAAATATTTCTGGGCTAGGGAACCTTAAGGGGAGGTGCTCAGTGACAAGGAAGGGGGGACCGAGCTGGGAAACCTCGCTACACCCCTTCCTGCCGGCACCTTTCCCTGCGCCTGGCAGATACTCCAGGAAAATGGGCCTATACCCTTCCCACAAGCCCTGGGAGGCTGCCCTTGGCCTGAGTTTGGACATGGTGTCCAAAGATCATTCAGCCAGTGTCTCCTCACCTTTCTGGGGCCACACATGGCTTTGAATCGCTTGGGAGAGCTATTCCTGCAGAAAATGCACATACTGCACCCACATGATTCGATGTGGAGTGTCCTGGACACCCCTTCCCCTGAGGCCCATCTGGGAGGCTGCCCCAAGCGGAACCCCGGAATCCTCCTCCTCCCACCCCTGGCAGGACCCTCTCCCTCCTGACTCTCTGATACGGACTGGGCCAGATGTCCATTTGGGAAAACTGGCAACCAGACTCTGCCTCTCTCTTGTGCCCACAGCTGGTCCCTGAACAGTCCATCCTACTTCCAAGGGGTTGTCGCCAAACCAGAGGCCCCGAGTCCCCAGGGCCCCTCCCTTCAGCCAGCTTTGCTCCATCCCTGCCCCTCCCTTTCTCTTCCCCTTCTTCCAGCTGCCTGGGAAAATCCAGAGCCTACAGGATCTCCAGGGGGAATGGCTCCCCTTCCTGCCCAGGGCTCGGCAGCCCAGCCCTCCTTCCCTTCCCCCTCCCTTTCCGCACTGTGATGTGCGTGATCTTCCTTCCAGTCATCCCATCCAGTCAACTATATACTTCAGGGCAAGCGTTTTTTAAAAATGCCACTAGGACTTCTGTTTTCTTTTCAATCCTCGCCTGTGTTCATTTGCCTTTCCAATCCGCTTCTGTGTCATCATTTCTACCATTCTTGTGGTAAACTCTAAACTGCCTTACCACTTTGCCCTTTTGCTGCTCCTACTGAGCCAAACCCCAGCCCTCGATTGCCTTGGGGCAGGAATCCTTCCCAACCAGCTCACTGTTCTCCAGGCACACGCGTTTCTCTCCCCATCTCACGCTTGTGCTCCAAAACTTCCTTCCCTCCCTCCTTCGCTGGGCTGTTTTCTCCTTCCCAGGGACGATGGCACTCTGAAAGAGGACCGCAGTCCTCAGGGGGGTAGTGGGAGGAGGGAAGAGACTGAAGTGAGTGGTCCTCAGCAGTACTCAGCAGGATGCAGTGTGGACCCTCCCTCCAAGGTCTTGAATCCCCCTGCGGACACCCTTTTTTGGCCCCTAGAAGTTACGGGCTTGGATACCCTGTGTGGGGCTAGACACGGGAAAACGGCTTAGCACTTTGATCCCTCACCCCTCAGGAAGGCAGACTGAACAGAAGGGGCTGGGGGTACCCCCCCAAGACCCAGCCGCCCTCTGTCCTGCGCTGGCCCCTGAGCCCTGCGGGAGAAAGTCGTGCCCTTGGGCAGCTGGACCACTCTCCTTCACTCTCACTTGATGGCCTTTACCTGGGTGTGAATTCAGGCTTAGAAGTCCCACTGCTCTTCAGTGGTGTGGTTGTGTAGTGACTGTTTCCAGCCTTTGCCTCCTTCCCCTTCCCACCTTGGGCTCAGTTCAGCGTCAAGCCCCCTGCTCAGCGCCCTCCAGGGAGATCCCTCCATGGACCTCTATGCTCTACTCCACCCTGACTCAAGCATTCCAGATATCCCGCGCAGCCTCCTGCCTTCCCCCTGGACGGCTCACAGGGATCTCAGACGCCATGTGTCCAGAACTCAGTTCTTGATGTTTTTCCCCTGCATGTTCCCCTGCCAGCTTTCTCTCATCTCAGCCTCTGTCTGCCCGGGAGTCACCCTCGCTCCCTCCCTCCTTTCCTTCCTCCCCACTTTCTAACCATCACTGAGCCCTAACCTTTTCCTCCTCAGGGTCTCAGAGATCCAGCGGCCAGTCTCTGCCCCATCACCTCTCACCTGGACATCTGCGCACCCGCTCCAGAGCTCTGGGGCAGGCACTCTCTCCTCTGGTCCTGCCCTGCCCCATCCTGACCTCCCCCATCTACTCCTCTGATCACACCTCTCCCTGCTGAAAACCCATCCATGGGGCCCCACTGCTGTCAGGAAAAAAAATGCAAACCCCTTTTATGACCTCCAAGGCCCTGCCTTCCCTGGATGCTTGTACCTAGACCTTTTGGTTTCTTGCAGTCCACTGAACTCATCCGTCTTCCTGAAACCTGTCACCTGCCCTGCCTGACAGTCACCACCACTGGGCCTGGGAGTTGGGCAGTGATCACCCCTGTGAGGGGCACGCTGGGCACACATGGAGGAAGCAAGAGGCCAGAGCTTCGGGGCTGCCCTCAGCAAGCTCCTCACCTGACAGGAGGGATGGTACACATAGGAGACCCAGGAGCAAGGGTGAGATGCATGCATAGAGCTTCACATGAGGCCTCCCCCACAGGGCCACAGGTCGGGGCATGATTATTCTGCTTAGTCCAATCCAGAGACCTCACCCAACGTCATCCCCATCTTCACTGGTATCATGAGCATCATCATCACCATCAACAGCAGATTATCATACCTGGTGTTCACTGAACACCAGGTACGTGCCCAGCTTTACACATTTTACCTCAGTAGCCCTCACCACTGTCCTGAGACTCTGCAAGGGTAGTAACATCACCTCTTTGGGATCTGTTATGGGCTGAATTGTGTCCCCCTAAAATTCATATCTTGAGATCCTCACCCCTGTACCTCGGAATGTGATTGTATTTGGAGAGAGGGCCTTTAAAGATGTGATCAAGATAAAACGAGGTCAAATGAGTGGGCCCTAATCCAATATGACTGGTGTTCCTACAAGAAGAGGGGATTAGGACACATACCCACAGAGGGAAGACCATGTGAAGACATATTTGGGATAGCCATCTGCAAGCAAGGAGAGAGGCATCAGAAGAAACCAGCCCTGCTGACACCTTGATCTTGGACTTTCAGCCTCAAGAACTAGAAGGAAATTTCTAGCAAAGAAATTTCTGAGCAAAGAAATTTCTGGTGAAGCTGCTCAGTCTGTGGTACTTATGATAGCAGCCCCAACAAACAAATGCAAGATCTGAGAGCTGGGAGAGACCTCGGAAGTCATCCCATGGTTGACCCCCTTTTTACTGAAGGGGAGTTGAAGCCCAGAGAGGGGAGGGGCAAGGCCCTAAATAAGTCAAAGACAGGACTCCCAGCCCAAGGCTTGTCAGACCAGGATGCCAGAGCTGCAGGGATGGAGCAAGTGGGTCTGGTGGAGGAGGGGAGAGGGACGCCCTCCTGGGCGCAGGGAGGGAACAGTGTTCTGTATCACCCCTTATCCAGGGGCTCAGTTACCTGACGTCAGCTGTGTGTGTGGGGGAAAGCAGGTGATCATCCTCTCCTACTGTCAGAGGTCCATAGCCTAATAAGTCTACCTCACCTGCCTATGTCCTTGACCTCACTCTATCTCATCTCACATCATTGCCAGTGGGAGGGTGTGTAAGATAGTTGGAGAGAAAGAGACCACATCCACATAGTTTACTGCAGCATATTACAGTTGTTCTGCTTATTATTGTTGTTCATCTCTTACTGTACGTAATAAATAAATTGAACTTTGTCAGAGGTGTGTATGTATAGGAGAAAATATAGTCTATATAGGGTTCAGTACTATTGTGGGTTAGGCAGACACTGGGGGTCTTGGAACTGGGGGGTCTGGAGGAGGAAAGGCGGCACCCGGCAGCCTGCCGAGAGGTACCTGGGAAGTCTCCTGACCTGGGAGGGCATCGAGCTGGATGAGGGGAGTGTGGAAAGAGGAAAAGCTGGACACAGGATGAGGGGAGGCTGCTTGACCCTCCCCCAGGACCTTTGAGTTGACCTGATGGAAGTTGTTTCGAGAGCCTGAGAGGAGTTCAGCTCAGTAGGAAGTGACCAAGAGTCAAATGTGTCTGGAGGTGGGTTCCCCCAGGAGGCATAGAAGGTGTGGAACTCGGTCAGCAAATATTTATGCAGCCCCCACCTCAGTGCAGGCTCAGCTTGGGGGCCAGGGACCCAGCAGTGACCCAGGCAGACCGGGTCCGGAGTCTCTCAGAGCTCACCCTCTGACGTAATTACACCTGCAATCCTCATAGAGGCTAAGGAGAGGCTGGAGGGCTCTGAGAACATTGCCTCAGCAGGAGCTTCCGGAAGGCTGGGGGACGGGAAGGAGGGAGAGTGGCATTCACTCTGGGCAAGGAGAGGTCTGGTGCGGAGCCTGCTGGCCTGGAGGGAGTGACGAGCGGGTGCTGGGCTGGCCTGACACTAAATGTCGCTGGAGTGGGAGGCTGGTTATCATGACTGCTCGAACCGCAGCAGAGACCTTGAATTTTGCCCCGAGACTGATACAAAAGCCACTGGCGGGCTTTAGGTGGGGGAATGGTGCGACTCCATTTATGTTTTGAAAAGACCAGTCTGGCTGTGGTGTGGACAGGAGCGGCCACAGAAAGCTGCTGGGAGTGTGAGATGGGTGGAGGGAAGGGGGACTGTGGGACCTGGCTGGGAGGGGGGCAGGGGCTGGAGACTGGTGTTCACACATGGGCGTGGGGGCAGAGTGGACAGGCTGTGAAGCTTGGCTGGGCTGGGAATGGTGGAGGCGGGCTGAGGGGCGCTGGGGGTGCACCGTGGTCACTCACTGCATGGAGATCAGGGGTCATGGTTGGGCACATACAACGTTAGGTCCCTGAAGACATCCAAGAGATCAGGAGAAGCAGGTGGATAGACCGGTCTGGAACCCTTGAGGAAGATCTAAGCAAAAGGCTTAATTTGAGAATTAAGGTCATGGGAGCAGATATAGCTACTCAGGAAATATGTAGACAGAGGAGGAGAAGCCTGAAATGGAGCTTTGAGAAATACCCACACCTACAGAATCATCATTAGAGGAGGTGCTTCTTTGAGCTTTCTTGTCTGTAAAACAGGTAGAACGATTTGAGTTGCTGTAAGAATTAGGTGAGATCAAATATATACAGTGTTTGACGAAGTGTTGGTGCTCACTGATAGTTCTTGTGTGATGGGTCCACAGTGGCCTTCCACCTCGTCACCTTGACTTATTAATGGCCCTTCGGAAGATGTGACCAGAGGCTTGGACTTCCTTGCTGCTGACCACAGTTCTGCACCAGATAGTAGGTTCTGTTACTGCAGCCCTTGTGTTTTTAGCCTTGCTGGCTGAAAAGCATGGGCTCGGCCAAGATCTCTGTATCTATGTGAGGGGTGCTTTGAACCCAAGAGCCTACTAGGAAGGATGTCAAGGAGGGGACCAGGCCCTGCGGCAGGACCTAGCATCTGTTCTTGCCCTTTACAGCAAGAGCAGGGAAATTGGCAGGCACCCCTGGCTCCGCCCTTCAGTGCCCCCCACCCCCCGCCCCCGCCACAGGTGTCTGGAGATGGGGAATGTGGAGGGAAGGGGCAGGCTTGGGGCTATGCTAGGTTGAGGAGGGAATGGTCTCCAGGCTAGGGTATGGATGCGCTGGGTCCCCCATCCAAGTCTCTTCCACCTCTCAGTGAGGCTGCTGCCAGGGAGTCTGACTTTGCCCATTTTTGGGAAGCTGGACTCCAGGCTCGTGGGCGGTGGCTGGAGCAACACCGCCCTCTCCCGGCTTGCTCTGCGAGTGCAGCCGGTGGGTGCATGGGTGTGTCCCGAGCTCAGGGCACCCAGGGGCACCCCACCCCACCTCTTCCCAGGTCTGCCTCTAGTCCTTGGCTGTCTTGGGCAGCCTGTCAGTCAGTCTCCAACTGTGTGTACCTAAGAGTGGCCCTTTGTTTTTGGCTTATGCTAGCTGTCACTGGTGGGTGTATCTCTGCCCATCTGTCCTGCTGGCTTGGGCTGTCTGTCTCGGTGTCTGTGACCGCCACCTCCTGTCTCTGTAGACTTACCGTCAGTCTCCACCTCACTTTCTGTCCCGGTCTCTGTTTCAGCAGCATCTTCTGCCTCTGACTTGCTCCTTGCCCCTCTCCACTGTCCCTGTGTCCTGGAGCTGGGGTCACAGCTGCCCTCCCCCTCTAGCATTGGACTGATTCTTGAGAAAGGCTGGGCTTTTCAGTTTTTTCCGTGATGAGTCAGGAACTCCTGGAGGGACAAGGGCTTGGGCCCCACCTAGTAGTGACCTCAGAGAGGATGCAGGAGGTCAGAGAAGCCTTTGGCCAGGCTGGAGACTGTGACAAGATTTTCCAAAATATGCTCATGGGGCCGGCTGGGGCTGGGTGCATTCCAGTGGACATCTAAGAAGAAGAATGAGTGAGTTGGCTGGCTACCAGCATGGAGCTGTGCTGCAGGCGCCTACTGGCTGCCGTCTATGCGAGGGGTTTCCTATTCTCCTTAATTCTCACCAGGCTTTCTGTTGCCTCAGGGCCTTTGCACAAACTATTTTTCCGTCTTGGAACAGTCTTCCCCTAGGCCTCATCTTGGAAACCACTTTCTCTAGGACGTCTTCCCTGATTTGTACTGTCTGAGATGGGGCCCTCCCCAATGCCAGAGCAGCACCCTCTACTTGGTTAACAGGGTGTCTGTTGCTGTATCATCAGTGTTGGGCCCTTCTTGGCTCTCTGTAAATACTTGTTGAAAGAACATTCTGGAGTCCCACCTGGCCCCGCCAAATGTTTCCTCCCTAAAGTATCCACCCCTTCCCTCTCTGTGCTCCCACAGCTCCTAGGACTGTGTTGTCCAATGCAGTAGCCATTAGTTAGTTATGTGTGACTATTTACATTTAAATAAGTCAATTTAAGTAACATTAAAAATTCAGTTCCGGGCGCCTGGGTGGCTCAGATGGTTAAGCGTCTGCCTTCGGCTCAGGTCATGATCCCAGCGT